GCCGAGGAATGTGCGGGTTGTCGGGGCTGGGCGACTCGGGGCGTCTGCAGCCAAGCCCTCCCTGCCGCTCTGTGCGTGACCCAGGGGCACTCTGCCCTAGGCGACTCCCTCCTGGGCTCTGCAGCCACTTCCTGCGGGCGTTGGGGGAACCGGGATGCCTGACCTCGGAGGCCTTGAATGCCAGAGACCAGCTTAGGCCTTGAGTTCTGTCAGCTGGGGTGGCCACTCCCTTTCTCCCATTCCTTTTAATCCTATAGAGGCCCCGCAGGTGCCAAGGGACGGACTTGAGCCCGTGCTCTCTCCTGCCAGGTGTGTGGGGGACAGGCCGTGGCAGGCCACTGAGAGTGGTGTGGTCTGGGGTGGTGGTCTCAATGACATGGACCCTGAAACCCAGCTGCGAGCCTTCCTGTTCTGCCCTGGCTATGGCTGACCTTTTCTGAGCCTCTGTTTCCCTACCTGTAAAATGGGCCGATTAAAGCAGGCATCAGCTGTTATGTTACTAAGGGCTCTGCCCTGTCAGCACCTGGGAGGCTTGCGGAACAGGTAAATGAGATCACACCTGAGATGGATGGGTCAGAAAGCTGGACTGAGCACCCTCCCCCGCCCCTGAGGTCAGGGAATCTGCTGTGCACCGGCCGGTGCCTTCCTCAAGGAGGGAGATAGATCTCCGACTCCCGCTTCATATTTTTTTGTTCCCCTCTGCTGCTCCCCGGGACAGTGAGCTCCAAGGACAGGCAGGAAGTCCTGGGCGCTGTCCTTGCACAGAGACCCCACCAGGCTCTCAGGAGAGGGGAGGGCTCACTGAGGTCACCAGAGGAGGTAATACCCCAGTTGAGCTGTAAGGGATACATGGGCAGAGGGAAGGGCAGTGGAAGTGCCCACACACCTGGCAGGAGAGAGCACCAGCCAAGGGTTGGAGCCAAGGATCCCCAGGAAGGAGGCAGGTGTGGCTGGAGGAAGCGGTCTGAGCACCGACCTGGCTGGGGCCGAGGAGCCCTGTTTACCCACAGGTGGAGGGTGGAGGGGACGCGCTGTGTGCAGAGTGCTGGGCTTTGTCATTGTCTTCCTGAATCCTCCCGCTGGCCGCCAGGGGAGGGGGTTATTTGCACAACTGGAAAACGGGGAAACCGAGGCACAGAGAATTCCAGCACTTGCTCAAGTGGCACAGGGGCACGACTGAGACTCCAGTGTATGCGCTCTTTTCCTGGGGTCAGGCTTTGTCTCAGGGAGGATCGGGGATAGTCTCAGAGGTGCCGAAGAGCAGGGTGAGGGAGGAGGGGTGTTGCCCCGAGGGCCAGTGGTGGTGGGCACAGTCAGGGGCTGGGAGAGAAACTGGGCCAGGTCTGAGGGGTTAACGTTGGGCCAGGTGTGCAGCCTCACTCACCGAGGCAGGGATGGGACCAGCAGGCAGCGTGATCAGGTGTGCGGGTTTTTTTTTGTTTTGTTTGTTTTTTTAAATCCTCACCCGCGGATATTTTTCCATTGCTTTTTAGAGAGAGTGGAAGGTTTGTTTGTTTTTTTAAATCCTCACCCGTGGATATTTTTCCATTGCTTTTTAGAGCGAGTGGAAGAGAGAAGGAAAGACAGAGAGAAATATCGATGTGAGAGAAACACATCGATGGGTTTGCCTCCTGCACTCACCCTGACCAGGGCCCAGGCTGGGGAGAAGCCTGCAACCGAGGTACGTGCCCTTGACCATACTCGAACCCGGGACCTTTTGGTTCGCAGGCTGACGCTCTATCCACTGAGCCAAACCGGCCAGGGCAGGTGTGCGTTTGAAAGCTCTTGTGTGAGCACAGAATGGACTGGACGGACGGTGACGGAAGCAGGGACTACTGACAGCAGGAGTGATACCAGCATGTGTTGAGCATCAATGCATACCTGGCCCTACAGCCTCTCCTGTGCGTCACCACATTGAATCCTCATGGAGCCCCATCGGGACGGTACTGCCTGCCATCGTGTCCCTTTTGCAGAGAAATCGAGTGACTTGCCCAAAGCCGCTCGCGGCGGCAGGATGTCCATACTTCCTGGTGTGCTCAGTACAGTTCCAGATGATGCCTACTGTCCCAGCGAGATTATTAATAGCACTTCCTTTCCCTCTCAAAAGGTGATCTGGTCAGACAATAAATTAATGTCACTCTAGTCAGAGGGTCCTCAGAGCAGCTGGCAAAGGAAGTGTGTGCTGTGATGCCAGAGGCCCAGCACCCAAATCCTGGCCATTGGCTCCCCAGCCGTTGTGTGACCCTGGGCAAGGCACTTAGCCTCTCTGAGCCTCAGGTTTCTGGTCTGTAAAATGGGTATAATTCCAGTGCAGATACTG